GGGTTAGGTGAGTTGGGTTCTAAGACCCCTCACCTGTGTATGAGGCCCGGGGCCGTCTGGGGCACGGATATTGCTGGGGTGTCGGAGGGGTATCGCTCGCAAGGCTTCAGGCAGGCAGCTGAAGCACTCTGTGGGACTGGTTTGTGGCCTGTTTGGAGAGGTAACCAGTCTGGGGGGCTGTGAGGAGCCCCGGATTTGAGCAATTCGCCCTGAGCGGACGCCCTCAGCTGTGCCCGGACACGGCCTGGTCCGTCACAGCTGCACTGCTGGGGTTTCCACGCACGGTGCCCCGGGGTATTTGGCCTTTTCAGTGAAGCCGGTCCAGAGCATGTGCTCCCAGAGCGGCCAGTCAAGCGGGCGGGGCAGCCCCTGCGAATTTCAAGGCTCAAGGAGAATCCGAGAGGCAGGTCTCTGACCGCAGCTGCTGTGAATGACCCCCTGAGCCGCTGTGTGCGGGGGGGCCTGTCTGCTTGGTGCATGGCCCTGCCACCGGGCTCCCCCCCCGGCACATCGCAAAGCAACGCCCGCCCTCCGCACTCGGGGGCAGGCCACAGGGCCTTTGCAAGGGGCTGCAGGGCAGTTGCAGACCGAGGAGAGGCCTGCACGTCCCACCCACACGCCCGGCCCTGTTCACAGGTAAGTTCTCCCCAGCGGTTGTGGAGAGGCGTTAACCAGTAGCAGGTGCAGGATCGACATGGCTCCTCGTGCATTTAATATGCTTGGGGGGTGCAGGCACCAACCGGAGAACGACTCCAGTTAGGGGCCAGGAGACGAGTCTTCTTGTAACCAGACCTGGCGCTGAGTGATCACCTTGAGTGACATTCCGCTCCCTCCTGGCATGCTAATGAGAAGAAAAAAGCTCGTCAGACAGGCTGTGCACTAACGAGCCGTGCCGCACCCTGGCCAGGAAGCTGGGCCGGGATCTCTGGGATGGGGGAGTTTTGAACCACTGCATCTCTGCTTTTTCCGCACTGCGATGCCCACAGGGCAAGTCCATCTGGCTCCTAGCGCTCGAGGGGTTTTCAAGGACGCCCTGGGTCGCTGATGGAGCTGTGCGGGCCCAGCTTTGGGAGATTAAAGCCAGAAGAGGCTGCCAGGTCCTCTGGCCTGGCCCCCTGCTTGTCACAGGCCAATGAGTGACTGCCATGCCTCGCACGCTGTTACACCTGGCCAATGAGTGACTGCTGTGCCTCGCACGCTGTTACACCTGGCCAATGAGTGACTGCTGTGCCTCGCACGCTGTTACACCTGGCCAATGAGTGACTGCTGTGCCTCGCACGCTGTTACACCTGGCCAATGAGTGACTGCTGTGCCTCGCACGCTGTTACACCTGGCCAATGAGTGACTGCTGTGCCTCGCACGCTGTTACACCTGGCCAATGAGTGACTGCCGTGCCTCGCACGCTGTTACACCTGACAGCAACCAGCCTGGCTGCTTTCCTGCCCGCCTCAGCAGCCGCGCCGTGCAATCTCCCCAAAGGTGCGAGTCAACCATGCCAAGGGCAGAGGGAGAGGAGCATCCCAAAGCCATAGAGGGGATGGGCAGAGATCCGGCGCACCCAGGCAGGCTCTTCTGTGCATTGCTGTGCCCGGCGAGGGGCTGCTGCGGCGGAGGCTGCGTTGCTGACAGAGGCACGTTGTGGGTGGCGTGGAAGGGGGTGCAGGGCTACCGGCGATGCCCAATGGCAGGACTTGCTCACTCCAGGGCAGTAGGTCTGTGCCCGGCAGGCCGCTCGCTCCTGGCTGGGGAAGGGAAGGGGCGGAGGAGGAAATCATGGATTGCAAGGGCTTTCCCCTCGCTCCCTGACAGTCCGGGGAGTGAGACGGAAAGCAAGCCGTGTCCCGGTGCGCAGGGCTGCTGCCCCCTGCCCTCCCGGAACTCTGTCCTTGCCCCTTCAGGCTGTGAACGGGCAGCTGCTGACCATGCGGCCTCCTGCGAAGAGGAGTCCCTCACCCATGGGCCCGCCAGGCAGGGGCACCTGAGCCTGCAGGACACCAGAGGCCAGACAGGCAGGTGCTCCAGCCCTGGAGCACTGGGGAATTGAAAACCCTTTTGCACTCCCTGTAAGGCCCAGGTGCAGAAAGGGCTAGTCACCCATGGGCTGTGTAACCGGGGTGACGGAGCCCCTGGGTAGATAAATGTGAGCATGGGGTAAAGTGCCCCCAAATTCGTTCTAGGGGTATTCACACACATTGGCTGGTGTGGCTGTGTGACGTAGTGAGGGTACCTTGCTGGTTGCTAGGCTTGGGTTGTGAGTGACCTCCACTGGCTGCTGTCTGCAGCATGGCCCAGCAGGGCAGGGGATGAGTCATTATCCAAGGGGGCTTTGAACCTGTCTGACCAGTGATCTCCCAGGGAGCGGAACAATGGGGAGAAGGGGAGTGGAGCCCTGGCTGGGGGCAGGGCTGGAAGTGAGGGAGTTAGGTTTCTGGCTGGAATCATGGAGGAAGCAGCCTAGGCAACGGGCTGGGATTTAGGGGCCCAGTCTCCCCCATCTCAAGGGGGGCTGAGGCATCCTAGGCCTGCCCTGTAACCAGATTCCATCTGTGCTGTGCTGTATCCTGGAGAAGCAATAAACTCCCTCTGTTCTACTGGCTGGTGGAGTCTGTCCGTGCCACTACGGGGGTGCAGGAGACGGGAAAACCCCAATGCACCGTCACAGGCTGTCACCAGGGTTACGTCCCTCTTCCACACAGAGAAGGAAACATGTCCCTGCTTTTCAGCCTCACAAAGGCCACGCGCTCTGGCCTGTGTTTTGCTGGAAATCCCAGAGATCGGAGACATCCCTGGTGCAAAGCCTGGCAGAGAGCGCCCCCAAGTGGGCACAGAGGGTCCCACTTAGTATAGCAGGCAGGCTGCTCTCTGCATGGACTGGGATGTGCGTGTGTGTGTGTGTGTGTTCTCTCTGTGGCTCACACACACAGCTCTTATTTGCACTAACGTGTTTCATGGGTGTGCGTCACATGGGGAGATTAGACCCTCATAAATTCTTCTCTCCAGACTGACCCTTCCCCCGTTAGTGATTGTGCTAAGAGGGCACTAATGGACGTAAAAATGCGGGTCGGAGGGGGGTGTAAAGCTTCTCCCCATTGTTGCCCCATCTGCCTGGCAGCCGGTCACATTGCACCCGGGGCTGCACCCTTATTGGCCCGCCGGGACGCCTTGGGCTCATTCGCGGTCCGAGGAGCGAGCCCAGGCGCGACGGGAATGAGGAGGCCCTGTGGAGGGCGTGTCCGCGAGGAAGCGGCCTGGAAAGGTTCTGTGGGTTGATGGTGACGCATGTCGACACCTGCTCTTGTGCGGGGCTCCAGGCTGGCACTTGCGGTGCGGGTGCTCCCTCTGCCCCAGGGCAAATGGATGCCACGCCCCGGCGCGGGTGGAGGAGGGACGCCAGCCCGGTGCAGGTGACAGCATTGTGCGGCTCTGGGAGGGAGCCCCTCGGCCCAGGCAGGCAGGCTGTCTGGGAGGGGAGCGGATGTTACGGTTCCGGAGCTGCCAGCTCTCTGGCCCCGGCTGGAAGATTCACGCCGTCCTTGCTTAACACATCCCCATGCTGCCCAGGGACCTGCCACTGAAGTCCAGGCAGATTCTCCATGGACAGCTCCCGCTCTGCTGGTGCCAGGGCCGTGTGGAAATGAACAGGTTCCATCTGGGGGGCAACCAGGATCACTGGGGAAAGGCTGGGACATCCCCACCGCTGCCACCAACAGACACCGAACAGCCATCACATTGACACCGTCCCGCGATGCTACTGCCCCGCACTCAGCATGGCCTGGGGCTGTGATCTGTCGGACAGAAACCCTGTCAGGGTTACAGGGCCAGCCGCAGCTCTGCCTCCTGTTGGTCCCTCTCAATGCACCCCTCTTCTCTGGTCGGCCTCGTGAGTCTCAGTGCCCTGTGCATATTCACTGTGTATCACCCAGCAGGCCTCTCTCAGCGTGCCCCCCGCTTCATCCTCCCTTCAGAGAACCGGGACCGGGACGGCAACCCGCCGCCTCTGTGAAACAGGCGGCCTCTTCGCCCGGCGGAACGCAGCTCTGGAGAACAAGAATTGGGCTGACATGCAAACCGAGCCTCGCCCAGCCCAGCGCGTCCCTCCGAGCGAAGGGAGACACGTTTCTTCTGCAGCGATGGGAGCAGACCTGACCCCACTCACATGCTGAGAAAGCAAAGATGGCGGCCCTGGGACACAGGCCGGTCCCAGGGACAGCTGCTGGTCCCTGCTGCTCTTCTCACCCCCTGCTCCCTTGCACCAGTCGGCGTCTCTGGCCTTGTCTTTGCACTCGGGGTAGCCCCACTGAGGGGTGAAGACAATCCCTTCAGGGCTGCTGCCAGGCTCCCGGGAGAGCCGCTGCCCCCCTTGGCCACTAAAGTGCCTTGACTTGACTTTTACCTCAGTGCAGCTCGCTCCCGCTAGGCCTCCTGAGGGAAAAGCCCTGCTCTTTCTAGACAAGGCCTTGATCTCTCGGAAGCAGGCCCTGCAGCCCTAGGGGCTCAATCCGTTTTTCTGGTGTTTGCTGGTTTTGTTTAAGGGCACGAGTGTGACGTCTCTGGGTGCTTTTCCCCAGGGGCCAGGGCCTGTCCAAGAGGATGTGCCCCTAAGAGCATCTTCGTTGAGAAGTTGGCTGGACCAGCTTGGACTTACTGCAGCCACTGGCCCCCACAGCCTTTTATTTTTCAGATCGTCAACTTTATAATAAAAGTACCAGATGCCCAAAGGCCGTGAAACTCCCGCGGTGAGCAACCCCTTGCTAGACTGCATGCACCAGGAGCTACCGCTCCAATCCCTGTCTCTGCACACGGGACCCCCCACCTCAATCCAGCTGTCATGGCCATGAGGGATGGGCAGCAGCCTGGACACTAAGGGGTGAACTGTACCTCGCCAGGTAGCAGTCAGCCAATAGAAATGCAGATAGGGATTTCAAAGTGAGACAAAGGAATTTTTGGTTTTCCCTCCTTTGTCTCCAAGCCAGTTTGCTCTAGATACTGAGGGAGACAGAAGACATGTCTCTTGCCAAGAAAAAGACTCTTCATAATGTGTAAGTAGGTAAATTTTAGTTAAATCTGTTAGGTTGTATTGTTTTCTGTTGCGGGACTTTGGATTTGATGCCTGTGCTGTTAGAAATGGGTTTTCCTCTCTTTTGTAACTACGTTTTGGCCCATGGGCGTCCCCACGAGTATATTAATCGGTGACTTTTTCCATTTAGTCATTCTGCTTACAACAGGAGTATTGTTTTGATGATAAAAGTTCTTTCTTTTCTATTAACCTGGTGTTGGTTCAGTTCTGTGTCCTGGAGAATCCGTCTGTGGGATCTGCCTGCCTCTGACGAGGGGAGAGCAGCCACAGACTGCAGTTTGCATTTTCTCTTTTCTTTTTCGAGCTCTCTGGGGGAAAGAGCTTGGGGTGCCGTGGGGTTGTCGCAAGTATCCACCCCTGTTTGTGGGTTCAAAAGCACTTGATGGTGGCAGCGGATTTGTATCCCCAAAATCTAGGTTTTTAGGGTTGTGGGGGGAGTTTTAGACCAACGCCTGTGTGACGGCGCGTTGGGGTCCCCCGTCTCCTGCACCCCGAAATGGCACAAACAGACTGCACCAGCCGGTGGAATAGAGGAAGTTTATTGCCTCTCCAGGATACAGCACAGCACAGATGTAATCTGGTCCCAGAGCTGGGCTAGGATGCCTCAGGCCCCCTTGAGATGGGGGAGACTGGGCCCCTAAACTCCAGCCCCTTCCCCTAGGCTCTCCTCCATGCTCTCAGACAGCCAGCAACTCACTAACCCTCTTCCAGCCCTGCCCCCCAGCCAGGGCAGCATCCACCTTCCTTTGTTCCTCTCCATGGGGGGTGTCTGGCCACTGGTTTGCATAGTGACTCATCCTGTTTTGCTGGGTCGTGGTACCCACGGCAGCCAGTGGGGGTTACCCCAGAGCCAGCAGCATAGAAACCAGCCAGGTACCCCCACTACGTCACAGCCTGTCGAGATCAGGTTGTGGGGTCCTTTTGCAGGCTCCCACTTCTGCATTTATCATGCCCAAGCCTTGACACCAACCCTCCTCCTTACTGGAACCTCACGTCCCCTGCAGGAAGTGCGGCCGACGCTTTGCTCCCTTCAGGGGTGTTGCAGGGGCTGCAGTTTCAGGCAGTCCCCAGAAGATGGCTGCTGAGGCCCGTGCTGCTAATTAGCCTCTTGCCGGCTCCCACAGCCACAGGGCTATCTCCAGGGGCCAGTGGGCGTGCCTGCCTGGCTTCGGGGAGCAGGGAGAGAAGGAGGGAGCTGAGGGCTCTTGCCTCTCCAGACGGTAGCACGGTGCAGCTCTGACCTTAGACTGTGCCTGGGAAGCGAGTTCTTCACCTCCTCGGTCTTTCCGCCTTATTTTTCTGGCCCTTCTTTCTGAGGGCCTTCTTCTTGGACCCCGCGTCATACAGTGGAACGCGAGTCCTGCTTCGCTTTGCCTCGCCCACTTCTTTTACTCCACGGCTACGTCTAGACTGGCATGATTTTCTGCAAATGCTTTTAATGGAAAAGCACTTTTTGCGGAAAAGTGTCCATGTCAATCTAGATGCGCTTTTGCGCAAAAAAGCCCCAATTGCCATTTTCGCGATCGGGGCTTTTTTCCGCAAAACAAATCTGAGCTGTCTACACTGGCCTTTTTGTGCAAGTTTTGCGCAAAAGGGACTTTTGCCCGAACAGGAGCAGCATAGTATTTCCGCAAGAAGCACTGATTTCAGACAGTAGGAAGTCAGTGCTCTTGCGGAAATTCAAGCGGCCGGTGTAGACAGCTGGCAAGTTTTTCCACAAAAGCAGCTGCTTTTGCAGAAAAACTTGCCAGTCTAGACACAGCCCGCCTGTACTGACCAACCCAGACATTCTGTAACCGGTTTTGTCCCACCACCTTATCTGATGTAATGATCCAGCAGACAGAAACCCTGAAAAACCAGCCAGAGATCACACGGACACACAATAGGAACATGGGCGCCGTAACGACAGCGCAGTGGAGGAAAGAGGGTTTCACAACCCCGCCTGTTGATGAAGTGTTTCTGGCCAGGTGAAATGCTCTCAGACTAACCCTTTAACCCTCTTGCGGTCTGTTTCTCTCTGGTGTTATTGGGCGCACGGGGGTCGCCTGCGTAACAGCCTGATGTGACTGTTTCAGTGTAATCTGGATGGAATGGGGATGTGACGCCTGATTCTCAGCTACTGGCGGCTGCTCTTCCAGTCTGGCTACAGACAAAGGCTTACCCTGCCACAGGCCTGGCACGCGCTGGGGAGGAGGAACCCGGATGGTCCCCACCGGTCACCTCTCGTCACCCCCGTTCCAATGAGCTCTGCTACCAGACAGTGCCAGGGGGTGTCCACTAAAGGCTGTTTGAGGGGACACAAACGTGCCCGGTCACTGGAGCGCCGGCTCCCCTATGGTGCTGGAGGCTTTCTGGAGGTGTTGATGGGTACTGCAAGCCCGCCGTGTGTCCAGCGTAGGCACAGACTGTCCACTCCTGTTTGCATCATTGGCTTGGGATTATCCGAACCCTTTTGTGTCACCATCATGGGGTGCTGGAATCACAAAACTCCCTCTTGAGCCCCCCAGATCTTACCAGCAAGGGGAGAGCTCCTGGAAACACTGAGTCCTGATCTGGTGCTGGCTCCCATGAGACTCCCATTATTTCGCCAAAAATTGCCCCCGCTGCTACCACTTACTCAGCACCCTTTTTGGTAGCAACAGTGGCAGCTAGACAGTGACCCAGGCAGCCACACGGACCTGTTCTGAGCAGTGCATGGAGCTTAAAACCCCCGCAAACACCCAGAACTCTGCCTACACCAGCTCTCCAGCAGGGGCTTGGATCGGGTGCCCTACTGAGGTCTCTTCCACCACCCTAATCTTCTGTGAGTCTCCCCTTTGCTAGCCCGAGGGGGATGGAACTAGCACAGGGATGGGAAACACGAGCCCGTGGGCACTAAGCCAGCAGGAAGGGGTAGGACCAATGAGGAGTCCAATGAAAGCGATGGTCTATTTTATGCCTTCAGGGCTAGCCAAAAATTCCGTATTTGTTGCTGTTGTTTCACACAGACCATAACCCGGCTCTCTACTGTCGACGGACCATGTGACTGCTACAGACGCATGTGTCTGCCCGCAGGACCTGTGCGGGTTCCCAGTGCCATGGGATGCAGACAACAGCCCAAGGAAAGGGACTACGCGAGACGTCTGTGAGAAGGGAGAGAGGCATCTTCCGAAAGGATCCCCTGGGACCTGTCTCTAGCAGCAGGGGGAGGAGAGTCACCCTGCTCCAACAATCCAGGCACTGTCTGGCTGTCGATTTTCCCAGAGTTTGTGCACTTTTGCACATTTCCAGGCTCAGTGTTGGATGAATCATCTCTCTGGCATCGGCTTATCTCTGATATACTTCTGTTCAAGTCCGGGAGAGGCCACGGAGAAACGTGACCTGCAAAAAGAAACACACTGGGCTTCTCCCTTCTTGGCTTGTTTGTTAGGGATCAAGCAGGCCTCAGACAGCTTATTCTGATTTGGTTTAAAGGATTTTTTCTGTTTTGTTTTTGTTTTTTACGAAAATACAGGCCTTATTAACCCTTTTTATTCTGGAGGCCTGCTCAAGGGTGCCATGCAAGCGAAAACTGATCAAATCAGAGGCAAAGTAGCCGTCAGTCATGCTATTCAAAATTCCTTGGGTTGCGTTGAGTTTTGTTATCACCTTTTCAGCTGAGATAACTGGAAGAAAAGCTCTCAAAGATTCAGCACCCAGGAAAATACCACAGATTTCAGAGCTGCCAGCATAGTAGTTCCAATACTTGTAAAAGGCACCTACAGACTGATCAGCTGGACACAGATCCCTAGTAAAATAGTGGAGTAGTTATTTTGGCTAAAATTAGAGGCTACAAATATAATGAATACCAGTCGGCATGGTTCTATGGAAAGCAGGCCTTGTCACACAAACCTATTGTCTTTCTTAAAAAAAAAATATGAGTCTACCTGGGAAAGGCAACTGTATCGCTATAGAATATTTGCATTCCTCCAAGGCATTTGACCAAGCACCACATTACATTTGGATTAAAACCGTACATTCCCTGGAACTGACCAGCCACAATGTTTGGTAGAATCGACCCTGGATGCCAGGCAGATCTCAAACTGTAGTTCTTCCTAGGGAAAAGTCACTGAGCAGGGCTGTCTAGCAAGGGCCCTTGGGGATCAGTTTACTCTTTGAACTAGGGGATGATCTAAAATCTTTGCTGGTCACGTCTGCAGAGGACCCAAAGGGACTGGTGGACTCTAGGGTGAGTTTCTGGAAATACCGTGAGTCAAACCCTGGTGGTAGCCTCTCCGCAGCTGCATCCTGTTGCTGACTCCTTCCATTTGTGATCCACTATTGCCCCTGTCAGCGCGCCACCAAGCCCAGGCGTTGCTCAGCCTTTAGTTTTTCCTTTCTACTTTGCACTTGCCTTCCCTGCATTTTCTCATGCTGCTTCCAGACCCGTCCTCCAATAAACCAGACTCCCGAAGGGGGCAGGACTCTGGAAATGTCTGGAGCCCCTGGCTTACAGTGTCCGAGACGATGGATCCATCCTGCCTCTCCGGCTTGGTCCCACCCCCTCCTGCTCCGCAGAGCCTTTCCGCCCTGGGGACAAGCGCACACTCCCGCTGGCCTGAGCTCCTCTTGCATCCTTCTCAGACCAGCCAGCTCCTTCCAGCGCAGGCTGCGTCTGAGCAGAGATGGTCCCGCCGGCCTCCCTTTCCCAGGCCTGGCCCATCCGCCCAGAACCGCCGCAGGCTGACGTGTCCCTGGGTGGACATCTGCAGTGTCCTGCGTGAACCCAGCTCTTCTGTCTCCTCGTGTTACTCAGCCCCTCGCCCCCCTTCTGTCTGTCCTGCGCCCTCCGCAGGACACGGGAGAGCCAGAGCCACGGGGCCAGCCAGCTGCTCGCAGAGACCCAGCGAGGGCTTCCTAGAGCAACCACCAGGGGGCGCAGCGGCGGGGGGCAGGGCAGCAGCCTGCAGATGGGGCAGTCGGGGAGGACGGGGAAGGTCACTGCCCTGATGCCCCCTCTCAGGATCCTCCCACCCCCTCCCATCACGTGCCCTCATGGCCTCCTCCCAGGCAGACTCCTGCGGAGCTCGGCCACCCCATTAGCCCAGGGGTCACTGCTGCCCTCGAGAGCTCATCACACCTCCTCCCCACCTACCCTGGGGGGACGGAGCAGGAGCCCACCGCGGCCCCATCTGCTTGCAGTCAGGGTTTCCAGCTCTCGCCAAGCTCCTTTGCGGCCAGGAGCCCAGCGAAATGGCTTCCCCCGGGCCACAAAAACACGTCCTGGGCGTCTGCAACCCACTGGGCCCCTCCCGTGCACCCAGGTCGGGACGAGCGGAGGTTTCCTCCTGCAAAGGCCCTGGTGCGGGAGCACCGTGGGCAGCTCCCCTTACCCATACAGGAGGGGCTGCGCTCCCTGCAGCCGCGGGCTGACTGGAGGGAGCCGGCTGCCGGCGGGACTGCGTGGGGTTCTGTGTTCAAACCACTCGCAACACCTGCCCTGAGCCGTGCCCGGCTCCACCCACGCTGCCCCTCGTGCCTCAGGGGTGTACGGCACTGCCCCACCGGCGCTTTCGAGCCTCATGCCGGGTGCCCTGCGGCAGCCTAGCGCCCAGCCTGCACGCTCATGAACAGACCCATCGGAACGGGGACGGCTCTCAGGCCCCACTACAACATGGCGCACCGTTCCCAGCTGGGGTACTGCGTGTGCCTGGCGCCCTGTCAGGCTGGTGTACACAAAGCATTCTCCCCGACAGGCGCTTTCCAGCGCTGTTGAGGGAAGGTGGATGTCGGTCGTCTGGCTGTCTGCACTGTCCCTTTTGTTGTAATAACCCGCTGATCCGTGCTAGTTACCTAAAACTGTACAGGTGGAACCAGGTCGGTTGCACAAAGCAGGAAACACAAGAATTGGGGGGGGGGAACCCACCAAAAATGTCATTTAAAAGAGCAATTTAAGTTGCTAAGCGACAAATACAGATTAACCGTCCTCACGATTTTATCAAGTGCCTTGTGATAGTTGATGTTTTTATGAACCCCCCAGCTCCCGGAATCAGGAAATGACTTGAGAAGATCAGCTTGCCTTGCAAAAAGTAGGTTTCTACCCCTCCTCGTTGCAGAGAAAACCTTGAAAATGTGACCTGTGCGTAACCTAGCACCTCACAAACCAGAAGACAAAGAAAAAATCCTAAAATGAGGGGTTTTAAATTTCGTGATTTTTAAGCCAATCTCAGGATTTTGGGAAGTACAACTCATGATCTTTGAATACTTGGAGTTGGCCATGCTGCAAAAAGGTAGCTACCGATGAGTTCATTTACCAGCCACATAAAAGCAAAGAACTAAGTAGTCAAGAGCATCTTACATCTCCCACTGCCAGCATAATAAACATAAATGCACCCGTCCCTAAACCACAGAAATACACATTTCCCCAGAAAGTAACCTGAACCCAGACTCACGCCTTGCTGCTCAGAGGCCTTGGCTGAGTGTGTGTCTGTGAGTGTGTGAATGGCTGTCCCACTGGCTTCCCTCTGTTACATTTCCGACTGTTTCTTGATTTTGCTGTTGTCCTCGCCCATAGTGTGCAGGGGGGTGGGGGGGTCTTGTTTAAAGCAGCCTGGGTACTAGTCCACATCACTAATGCTGCTCACCTTCAAGTCACCAGCTGCCTCTGGTGTGAGTAGGAGCAGAGTCTGTCATAACAATGTGGCACCTTACAGGGGTTCCCAAACTGGGGGCATGAAGAAATTCCAGGGGGGCCATGAGGTGACCCAGCCTCCCGCCCCCCCCCC